TTCTTTATAAATGCTAGCGAGCAGACCTTTGTCTGAGTGCTTATCAGTTAAGTTTTTTTTCCAAGTGTGTGGATTGTCTTGTCACTTTGTTGGTAATTTCTTTTGATGTGCAAAAACTTACCAATAAGAGGATGTCTCAGTTGTTAATTCTTTCAAGTACTACCTGTGCGATTTGATTTTTGTTCATAAACTCTTTGCCTACCACCAATCTTCAAGAGTTCCTCCTACTTTCTCTTCCCAGAGATTTAATGTTTCTGTTTTAATGTTTAGATCTTTAATCCATTTACTTTAGCTTAGTGCATGGTGATAGACCTGGGTGAAGTTTTAGTTTCCAGCCTGTAGAAAGCCAGTTTTTCTAGTACTGTTTGTTAAAGAGGCTATATTTCTTTTTCCCCCCATATTTTATTGAGAAACAAATAGCCATGAGACAGTTTCAAATTGAATTGGTAGGACAGTTTCAATAATTAACATATTGCATACTGTCTTCCTAGTGGTTATTTGTTGTACAGGATGCAGACATGATATCCTATTTACAAACACTCTTAAAACAAGTCGCTCTGTTCATTGAATTAAGAGATTGTAGTTCTGTATCTATCCTAACCATTTTGAATACACAGATACAAAATGGTCATTCATCTGTATCACCTTTTTTTGTTAAGTTCCATCATTTAAGTATTATAGGTATGTGAACTCAGCAAAGTATTCCAAAATAGTCCATTAGTCTATAACAGTATTGGGTCTTCCACTTGACTGGCAATGTCAGAAATTGTTGACCTGAGTCCCCTGGTTGTTTTAGTACCATTACTAAATACCCTCTTTTTCCCATTATACTGAGTTTGCTTCTACATCACAGATCAAATAGTGGGTTTGTAGTCTCTTTATTCTGTTCTATTGATTTATACACCTGTCCTTAGTCCAATATTATCCTGTCTTTATTACTCTGAATTTATGTAAATCTTAATATCAAGTAACTTCAGTGTGATGGTTATTCTTCTTAAATATAGTATTGACATTTTGGAATATCATGCCTCATAATATAAACTTCAGCATTAGTTTGTGGTATTTTGTAAAACAATTTGCTTTGATTTTGATAAGATTGCATTGTATCTCTAGGTCAAGTTGAGGAAAACTAAAATCTTAACAATAATGAATGCCTCC